GGCCTGTCTGTGTGACGTCACACAGACAGGCATCTGAGATCGGCTCGATTTGAGAAAGGGGTAAAGATTTTAGTATATTAACAAAAAACCACTGGGTGGATTTTTTTATAATTTTAGGGTGGTTGTGTACACACACTGCCAACACACATTTCAGTTCAAACAACTTGTAAAAGTGCATGTAGCATCCTATGACCCCTTTAAAATCTGTTCAAAGAAGTCATGTAGCGTATTCCAGCCTCAACTCAATGTGTGCTCTAAAATCAGTCCAAAACATGTTTAAACACAGCATGAAGCTATAAAGTCTGTGCCCATCATACGCTACATGATCTTCTTTGAAAAACTCTGTCTCTGAATGACCAAAATCTGTAGATTGGCTCTGACTTTGATCAACTTTGAGCAAAAGTCACAGTGTACTCCAGTCTTAAAGGAACAGTTCACCCAAAATGAAAATTCTGTCATGGTTTACTCCACCTCGAGTCGTTCCAAACCTGTATGAGCTTCTTTCTTCTGCTGAACAACACAAGATAGTTTGAAGAATGTAGGTAAGTTAACCAAGCAATTGATGGTCCTCATTGACTTCCACAGATCCAAAATATCTTCTTTAGTAGCAGTAAAAAGAAACACAAACCGGTTTGGAACAACTTCAGTGTGTGTACATGATGACTGACTTTTTATTTTTGGGTGAACTATACCTTTTAACATCCCTTTGCATCTTTATAGTGTGCTTTCATTTGTTTTTACAAAACTTTTATGGAAAACATGATGTTAATTATCAGCCATTAAGTTACCTGAAAATACTTACAGCGTATGGATTGAAGCAAGAATTTCAATATTACTGAATCCAAGAGAATTGATGCAATTTATTTGGATGTTAATCAGTAATCCTAAAACAGAGCTGTTCAGTCATGATGTTAATTTGTACCCAGAAGGCTACGTTAGCTCACTGTGCTAATTTCACGGGGGCAGTTCTAACCGCATTGCACGACCGTTAGTGAACGGAGCACATTATACATATAACAGATGTGTAACGTTTGATAATAAAATGTAAACTGAATTGTGCTAGGACACCACTTTAAAACATCTAGTGCCGTACATACGGGAGAGTGAGCGATTTCAGACAATGAACTTCATGATTAGCATTCCCGGCTAGTTCAGAGGCAAACTAACCAACACTTTCCTCAGGAAACGTTATACTGGTAAACTCGCTCTGTATCAGATGTTTTTAGCTTCTAATAGCGAATACTTTAATATTCGTCTAGCAACAAGAACTCTACTCTCTCAAACTGAAGCGGGTTTCCTATATTTCAGACACTAAAGTAACAGCACAAAACTTCGACAGTTAGTGCAACGGCCGCTCGCATCCCTACCGTTACATCTGCCGGTAGATTAGCTGCTTCGAGCGCCAGTTTGTTGACGGAAATAACTGTCTGTCATTTGTTCAAACACAGTGGAGAATACTTTCAGCAATTAAACGGCACACTTTTTAACTGTTGTTTTTCTTTCTTACCCACACACTTGCCCGGGCATTTCTTCGCTGTCCTGCAGGAGTTTCTGAAAAGTCAACGATAATTCAAGAAGTAAACTCGCTATTATAGTGAAAGATATGTGTTACAGTCGTGAAAGCTGGCGATGTGTGTGTCGTTTTGTTTGCCTCACACGCGCCTAACCTCCAACTGCTGCGTCCTGAGCCCGCGCGCACAGCTTCTGCGCTCGACTGCGTCACATCTGCGCTCAGTTTGCGCAGCGCAGCCGCTGCTTTCCTCCCACTGCAGCCCAACGGCTCTGCGCAGATATACGCAGCACAACCCGCTCACGACCGTTACAGGTCAATTCAGTGGCACACAGCATGTACTTTACATTTAAGTGTTTGTATTAGGCACTGCTAGCACATTAAAACGTGTTTAAACATGTATTCAAATCAGATTGCATTGTCATCTGTCTGTGCCGACAGAGCTTTCTGTTATCAGTATAATTGTGATTCTAGATTACTACCTACCTATATATATGTGTGTGTGTGTGTGTGTGTGTGTGTGTGTGTGTGTGTGT